GATACCATTGAGTTAATGAACCAACCCCCTACTCCCAAACTTCTTACACTAATGTAAGAAAAATTAAACACTATTTGTTTAAACTACTGTATTTCGATTTCCTGATGCATGTAGTGAAATACATTTCTAACAGATATACTACAGTATAGGCATAGTCTTCTTAGGATAACTACATTTGGAGTGAGGGGAATAGGCTGGAGACTTCTGGTGTATTCCTCATTTCAACCAAGTGCACTGGGTCTCTATTGTATTATCATTGCCTGCTGGGATCAGGATGACAAAAACTGAGATTTTTATGATCTCCTATAAGGTATGGATACTTTCAAGTACAAGGTTAAGAACCTAGTATGCAGTTGATTATATGGACAAAATCGTGCCATTTTGTCCAAAATCGTGTTGTTAATGAAGCAAAGGGGGTGTTTTTTTACAAAACAAATGTATAAAAATCTTCTTTCTGTTACTTCCTACCTGAGAAGTTTACTTTCTCTCCAGAACACTAATCTGTAACAGAGCTATGTGGTAAAAGATAACATTATTTGAATATACAATCAGTCTATAATTAACTAGAGATGACAATTATAAATAACACTGTGTCCTGGAGTTTCCAAGAAACCTGACACACACAGTTCTTGGGTATGTTGAAACACTTCCAAGAAATAAAGAAATAAAAAAATCTTTTAGAAGTCTTCAATTAAAATGTGTTTCAGTAAAAATGACTTTCATGATGTGTTTTGGTACATATCACTGGAAAAACAGTCGTCCCTATCTTCACACCTCTAATTGTTTTCACTGTCCAATTACAGCTTTTCAGAAGTAAGACCTTCTAGTTGGGACAACCACGTTGGCTATTTGAGATGTGAGGAAAAGTTAATGTGTGTTAGGTTTGTGTATCCAAGAAACTGGGTCTCTACTATAAGATTCCAATTATCTGGAGCTCAGGTCATAGTATCTATCATTTTTTAGACTAATAGAAAGCACCAGGCTGAATTTTTTTCCTTTTCCCTTTTCCTTTCTCCTGGCTCCCTTCCATCTTTCTTTCTGCTTTATCTCCCCCATTCCTTACATTTCACATACTTTCTGGGTTTAGGAAGTTAGGTGTGCTATTTTATTTTATTTATTTATTTTTTCTTTTATTTCAGCATATTATGGGGGTACAGATGTTTAGGTTACGTATGTTGCCCTTG